TTTCCGGAAATAGTCAACTAAACAGAGAATGCCGCTCCTGGATTTGCCTGGAGCCTGCATTCCTGGGTAATCCAGTGTCCTTTGGCACAAAGGAAGTCCCAGTGGATTTGTAAATCTAGTCAGTTTGAGAGTCAGGTAGCTGCAGGTTTTGTGTTTCAATGAAGTTCTGGGGGGGCACGAGAAAGCTGTGTAGCATGGGGGATAACTCTGGGGGACTGTTGTCACCAGAAGTCCAGATCCCACCTCTCTAAATACCTGTAGTGTCCCCTTCGGTCATGTGACACCAAAAGAGCCCATACCACTGCTGAGTCTGCCCTTGGGAAGCAGGGATCCATTAGTCATTCTGCCAACACACGACATGCTGGACCCTGCCTACGTGCTGGACCCTACACCCAGATATTAGTCATCTCTTATGATGCGTAGCTTGTCAATAAGGACAGGGTGGGGTTGGCACCTACAAGAGGACACAGCCCACTGGGAGGGGGACAGGGGACCAGAGGTGGCAGTGGTTCTGAGCCTCACAAGAGGACAGAAGGAGCAGCATATTGAGGCAGGTTCAGGGTGCCTGGCACACTGTCGATAGTCAATAAAGGTTGGGAATGAATAAGTAAATGATCATTGAGGACCCGGGGCATGTCTGCAGAAGGGGAGCTGCTCCCAGGATATCATGGACTGCAAGAGGGGAGTGCTTGCTTCCTGACACTACCAGCACCAGGTCAGGACTTAAAGGAGGAGGCTGGGGTGAATGGGTCTCCCAAACCCACTACCATTGATTGGTTCCAACTTACAATCCTATGGGACAGAGCAGAACGGTCCGAGAGGATTGCTAGGACGTCTTTCTCCTGAGGAGCAGCCTGTGGGTTCAAAGCACTGATCTTGAGGTTAGCAGCCCAATGCTAAACTTCCCGCACCCCTCACTGGGGCACCCCTCACTGGGGCACCTTGATCGTTCTTGGACGCAGAGAAAGGCTGGTGGTCTGAGCTGGGAGTGGCGTCTAGGAAGTGCATCTTGGATGCTCTGCTCTCCCAGAAACTATAACCACCAGCGCAGGGAGGGGAGGCAGGGGTGGCCTTACTTTCCTGTCTGTCATTTCTGCCTGGAACTGGCCACTGTCACTGAGGCCAACACCGCCAGGGAGTCTCAGTGGGGAAGGCTGGGACAGAGGGTCTCTTCCCTCAAGCTGAGTAAGGAGGGCTCAGTGGGAAGCTGCCCCCTAGTGGGGGTCGTTTCTGCCTTGAAGGCCAGACTGGGCCAAGGGGCTGGAGCTGGCAGCCTCTAGGAACCCAGCAGGCGGAGTAATCTGAGGAGCCCCCACCCCCACCCCACCTCGCCCCTCATTAAAGTCTTGGCAGAGAGTTCCCATGCATGATTTTTGCTCTTGTGTTGCCAAATATTTGGAGTGTTTTGTTCAATAAAAGCTGGAAAGAAAGGTATATTTTAAGAAATCTTTAAAACTTTTTATTATGAATTGAGTGGAGGTTGGTGAGATCATCAGGGTTGGTGAAAAACCACACACACACACACACACACACACACACACACACACACACACACTGCAAACCAGTGGCTCTCATGTTGATCCCCTGTGTGTCAGAATCAAGCTGTGCTCCACAGGGCTCTTGACGGCGAGTTTTTCAGAAGTATTTTGCCAGGCCTTTCTTCCAAGCCTTCTCGGGGTGGACGGACGCCAGCCTTTTGATTCACAGTCCAGCACTTAATGATTTCCATGGGGCAATGGGAGGGAGTACAAATCAAGGCAGGCTTCTTGCAAGCTTGAACATTACTAGGAGCTCACCAAGGGGGTTGCCAGTCGGGCTGTGAACCGCAAGGTCAACCATTCAAACCCACCAGCCAGTTTAGAGGAGAAAGATGAGGCTTTCTAGTCCCATAAAGATTGAGTCTCAGAAACCCACAGGGGCAGGTCTCCGCTGTCCTATAAGGTTGCTGTGGGTCAGCACTGACTCCGTGGCAGTGGGTTTGTTTGTGAGTGAGGACCAGCCAAGCACTGGGGAGGGGATGGACGGGGGTGGGGTGGTGGTGGTGGGGGGCAAGGAGAGGATTGTGGCTGCTAACCAAAAGGTCTGCCACTCAAACCGACCCACTGTGCTTCTGTCAAGATCACAGCCGAGGGAACCTTCTGGGGCAGGCGGACTCTGCTCTATCAGGTTTCTCTGAGTCAGAACCAACATGACGGCATACATACAACATGGAACGGAGTGTACTCAGCCAGCGGGAGCAGCACATCCGGGGTTGGAGAAGCCCGTGACATGGATGGAGGCTATGAGGACCACCCAGGGGGTGCCAGCACAAGGCGGTCTTCGTGGAGGAGGCACCAGCGCACATGGGAACCGGGCGCCAGGACATCAGCTGTGACTCAACTAAGCTGCTTACGCTCAGCCTGGGACCACCAGAGCTTTCTGTTTTGTTGTTGCTGTTTCTCCTAGAGGGGCAGGAAATCTAAATGGTTAAATCCAGTACCCCGAATCTGGCAAGTTAAACTCAATGTGAACATTTAAAACACTCCATGCTGTCCTAAAATGTTCACACCAGGCCCATGAGCCACCAGCTCCACGGAGGCCGAATGGGGACTAGATTCGGAGGGCAGCGGGGCTGTAAGCAGGGGCAGGGAGTCCTGCTTTGTGCGGAAAGGGCCAGGTGGTTGTTTGTGGGAGAACAGCATGGGATGGGAGGGGTGAGAGATGGTCTGGGCTGTATATCACCCTGGGGTGGGGTGGGATACCTGGACGATGGGATTTGAGGCTTGAAAGGATGGTTCTTGGAGGAGACCAAGGGTCATGTCACAGGGCACAGGGAGGAGGAGCAGTGATGGAAGAGGTAGCCTGAGCCCTGAGGGTCACTTGGGAGGTGGCCAGGGGACTGAACGTGAGTGGGGCTGGAGTAACATCGCCCTCACGCAGTCCACTCAGCCCTGTGAGCCAACACCAGGTGTTGTTTTATTGTGTATGGCTGTCCCGTGAGGGCCTGGCTGGGGGCCCAATGGGGGTCAGTGGGACTCCTCTGCCCCCACAAATCCACAATCTGGTTGGGGAGGCAGCCAAGGATGATGGAAGAGCCCCAGTGGGAAGGCTGGCCCTGAGCTTGTCCCAATGGGTGGACCGTGAACCCATTCTCTGGGGAGCCAGGGTGGGCCTGTCTGGGGGACCTGGAGGATGATGAGGAGATGGGGGTAGGATATTCAGTTGGGGTGGCCAGGGCCAGAGATATGACAGCAGCCATGGGTTAGTGAGCAGACAGGAAGGGATCCAGCAATACAAACTGCTCCTTCCCAGGATTCATCTGGAAGGAAATGGCCACCGGTTCACATGCCTCCCACACCTTCGGATTCTTCCAGGCACAGTCAGGAGGTGTTTCGTATGTGGGTGGCAGCCCTCCCCTTTGTCCCTTCTCCTGTGGAGCAGTGCTCTGTTGGGGGCTGAAATTCTGCTGCTGTTTGTGTCCAGTGTCAAGAATCCCCATTGGTCTCTCTTACTACTTACTGTATATACTCGAATATAAGCTGACCCGAAAATCAGCTGAGGCACCTAATTTTACCACAAAAACTGCATTAAAATGTGCTGAAAAACTCGGCTTAATCACGAGTGTGTACGGTACTTCTCCAAGACCAACAGTCGTAAGTGAGCCTGGAACTGCGGGGTGGACAGTAAGCGCTCAGGAGCCCAGAGGTGACGAGGGTGATGGGGCTGCAGGTGGGGGAGGAATTGGAAAGTACTTGCCTGCCTTGCTGGGACTGGATTCTGGGCTGTTGGGGGACGATGCTATGCAAACTGTTAACATAAGGCCTGGTCTACAACAGGTGCCCAGCCTGCACCTGGGTGGGATTTAGGTCTTGAGGGATCAGCTCAGATGCTCTGTTTCTTGTTGTTGTTGTTGTTGTTAAGTGCCATTGAGTTGTTTCTACCCATGACTACTCTCTCTGCACAACAGAATGAAACACTGCCCGGTCCTGGCCCAGCCTCACAATGGTTCCTGTGCTTGAGCCCGTGTGCTAGCTGCTGTGCCCATTCATCTCTTTGAGAGTCATCCTCTTTTTCACTGCTCCTCTATTTTACCAAACGTGATGTCTTTCTCCAGCGACGGGTCTGTCCTGACAACGTGTCCACAGTCCGTGAGACAGAGTCTCAGTCTCCTTGCCGCTAAGGAGCATTCTGGCTGTGCTTCTTCCAAGACAGGTTGGCTTGTTCTTTGGACAGCCCCTGTCCTTTCCATCTTCTTCCCGGCACCATCATTCAAACGCATCGACTCTTCTTTGGTCTTTCTTATCCAACGTCCAACTTTCTTCTTTTTAATCGTTTTATTAGGGGCTCATACAACTCTTATCACAATCCATACATACATCAATTGTGTAAAGCGCATTTGTACATTCATTGTCCTCATCATTCTCAAAACATTTGCTCTCCACTTAAGCCCCTGGCATCAGGTCCTCATTCCACCCCCCTCCCTCCCCGCTCCCCACTTCCTCATGAGCCCTTGATAGTTTATAAATTATTATTTTGTCACATCTTGCCCTGTCCGACGTCTCCCTTCACCCACTTTTCCAACTTTCACATGCATAGCAGTCAACTGGAAATCCCATGGCTTGGGTCCGGTGCATCCTTGTCCTCAGAGTAACCCCATTGTCTTCCAACACTCTGAAGAGGTCTCGTGCAGCCCACTGACCCAATGCAACGTGCTCTCTGATGTCTTGACTCCTGCTTCCACGGGCCTGGATAGTGGAAGACCCTCTCACTTGCCTGTGGGAAACATGGCAGGTTCATGGGCCTGCTTTTCATGGCCAAGGGTTCCTGAGGGATGCCTGCCCTGGGTCTGATGGAGTTGTGGTGGTGGACTCTTGCCATGGTGGTGACCTTGGGCTTGGGACGCAAACAAGACTTTGATGCAAATCCCAGTTGGAACTTGAGACCTTTTCACTTATAAAATGGGGACACTGATCCCTTCTGGCTATTTGATTCCTCACTCCTCATTCTCCGTGGCTCTTCAGGGGGTCCCAAGGAGCAGCCATGTCCACCCTGTACCCATCTCTGGAGGACCTGAAGGTAGACCAGGCCATTCAGGTAAGGCCACCCACAAACCTGTGCCACCCTCTCTCAGCACTCTGCTAGAATACCTAAGGGAGCCTTGGAAAGAGGCTGAAGCCATGTTCCTTGGCGCCAGGCCTGTGTGTGGAGGAGCTGTCCCAAGGCCAGGCAGGAGCCACAGCAGGGCCAGGAAGACCAATGGTCACAGTCCTTGCTGTCAGGCACCTCTCTGTCCAGTGTGGCCTAGTGCTTCCTCCCTCCCAATGCTCACTGGACCCCACCCTCCATGGCCTGCCTTCAGGGCAAGCCAGTGGTGCTGGGATGGAGTCTGATCAGCTGCCAGAGCCCCTTCTACTTTTTGTCCCCCTACTTTTTGGGTCAAGTGGACATCGAAAATTTGGAACTTGACAACAGCGAGTTTGGCTGGGAGACAGAACTCCAAGTTTCGGCAGCCCCGGGGAGTAAGAGGGTTATGGCATGTGGTGAGCCATGGGCCCCCCAAAACATGTCTGCCTGCAGAGGTCAGACTTCACACATAGCCTAGAGGGGTTGTGGCACCTAGACCCCCACCTCAGGGAGCCCCAGGATCAAGGAGACTTGGAATCCAGTACAACTGACCAGTACTTTCCAACGTTCCCCAGGCTCAGGCTGCATCTATGCCCACAATGCCTGCCCTGCCAGCCCAGGAGGCAGCCATGCCCCAGCCTCCAGGTGAGTGCCCGGGTGATGTTCAGGGCTGAGACGGCTTGGACTCAAGTCCTTTGAGGATAGAAGGCACCAAAGCTGGGGGGTGGGGGGTGGGGTTGGGGGGCTGGCCAAGGACTCACCATGGTTGGGGGAGAGGATTCAGGCTTCCCCTCTTGTCTCCCTCCCCCAGTGCCTGGTAAACTCCTATGCATCCTTCTGAACCCAACCCAGAAAGCCAGGGAGCCCATAGCTTCTTCACGAACTGGCCCCAGCATGGCTGCTGTGTGAGCACCCTAGTGATTTGAGTCACCCCAAGGCATCATGCCACTGGAGACACAGTCTCATGTGACCCCAGGAGTGACATGTCACAGTGGTCAGGGGGAACTGGTACTGGTACTGGGATTGGAGTATTGTAATGCTTTCACACTGGGCTGCTAACCACAAAGTCAGCAGTTTGAAACAGCCAGCCACTCCTTGGGAGAAAGACGAGGTTTTCTGCTCCTGTAAAGAGTTATCGTCTCAGAAACGCACAGGGGCTGTTCTACTCTGTCCTGTGGGGTCTCTATGCAAATGAGGCCCACAGTCTCGGTGAGCGAGTAACTCCTTCTCCCATCTCTTTCCTCCCCCATCAGTTCTGTATCCCAACCTGGCAGAACTGGGAAGCTACATGGGGCTTTCCCTCTCCAGCCAAGAAGTTCAGCAGAACCTGCCTCTGATCCCAGCAGGGAGCGATGTACGTATTTGTCTCCGGCCTCCTGGGGCCAGTGCCCCTCACCTTCCTCCTTCCTGGCCCTGCCATTTCCAGCTTCCTTTCCTTTGAGCTGGGACGCCCTCCGTCCCCAGCAGTCTGTGGCTCCGCTTCGTTCTCATTTCTTAAGTAGCGTTTTAATAACATTTATTGCATTTTGGGTTCAGGGTCCCATTCAGTAATGGCTACAAAAACCGCTCAGTGACCTGGGTTTGAAGGCGGGAATTGATGTCTACGGCTGGTTCTGCTTTGGTGAGCTCAGCCTCAGACCGGCATGCACAGGAATCAATACACACACACACACACACACACACACACACACACACACACGAGGTTAAGTCCAAAAGTCTTGGTACTAGGGTTCCAATTCATACATGCAAAGGTTTATTCCTAACAAAACCTATCTCCGGGATCAGTGCATGCCTACAGACAACTTCTCTCAGTAAAGCCTGTGTCTTAGTTTCCTACAAAACAAAACAAAACAAAACAAAATCTCTGCCATCAAGTCGATTTGGACCCCCTGGAGGTGTAGTGGTTATGTGTCGGGCTGCTAGCTGCACAGTTGGCAGTTCAAAACCACCAGTCACTCCTCTGGAGAAAGACGGAGCTTTCTACTCCCGTAAAGAGTTACAGTCTCAGACACTCACAGGGGCCGTTTGACCCTGTCCGGTAGGGTCACCGTGAGTTAGTCTCATTCGAGTGTCTTTGAGGAAAAGGTCCAATCAAAACAGTCACTTCCCATAGGGATCAGCTGGGCCCATTCACTCCAAGGTAAAGAGGTCAGCTAGAAGGTTGTGGTGACTGTCCGAAGGACTATGGGGGCTTATTAGGAAGCAGCTCTACAGAAATTGAAGACTGTGTTGATGAGAAAGGGCCAGGAAAAGCTGCAGTGAGGAAATTAGTTTCCACCACGAAGAAACACCTGCTCACTCTTGGAGGGCGCCGAGGGCTGCCCTGTGAGAATTTCCCCGGGAATCTTTACCCCATCCACCCTCCAGCCCTGATTGCACCCTTTCTAATTCCTTTTTATTCCCCAAACCCAAACCAGCTTGCCATTTTGATGTGGTGTGAACCAAAGAGCACAGCGCTCTCCAGGGAAAGGGCTGAGTGGGACACATCATCTCCAGGAGATGCTTAGAGACCCAGAGCAATGTTGCCCATCGTGAGCGCTACTTCTCCCTGGAGGGTGCTGGAATTATCCAAGGGAGGCCAGAAAAAGCAGATAGCTACACCTTTTCCTGGATTAGGGGATATCGCACAAAGGTTTTTAATACCCAGGATGGTGCTGAGTACTTTTTCCCCCTTTCTTCCTCAAAAGGGGATGGTAGACCAGTAAGTTCTAGAACCTAGCTGGAAGATACGTTGATTCATTTAATAGTTCCACAATTTCCTTAGTACAGTGGTCTAAGACTTTATAGCAATACTTTTTGACTCACTCTCTTATGTATGCAAATATACATAAAACGTGAGAGAATCTCCGTTTTTGTTTGTTAAATCCATCTGCTGTAAAAAAAATCCATCTGTTGTAGTCTATAACAGCAGTACTAAGAAAGAGGCTGGAAGTTCAGAGCGTTGCCTCTTGGGACAGATTCTCTCTCTCTCCCTCTCTCTCTGTCAGCTTTACAGAAAGGTCTTTGTCTCATCTCCTACCAACATCCATGGGTTCAGACTTCCTTGAAGATCTCCACGTGTCTCGGGACAGTCTTCCCCTGGGTCTAGGAGGTTCTCAGCACTCGGACCCTGGGTCCACAGGACACTCTCTGCTCCGGTTCTTCTTTCCTGGTCATCAGGTCTCCTTTTCTGTTCACTTTCATCTCTCTTAAGACTTAAGGTGACGCAGGCCAAATTTCAGGGACGCATGTATTTTGTGGAGGACACAATTCAACCCATGACAACTCTCTTGTATTCTTGATCCAGTTTCCCACAATGGTTACATTTTACATAACTATAGTATTATATCAAATGTAACAATTCTCACTGATACAATGTGTATGTATAGCTGTCATCTTATCACTCCTACAGATTCTGTGTAAACATCGCAAGTTACAGAAGTATCCTTTCAAACCAAAGGTCTGTCCCATATCACCTTTTTATAGTCATTCCCATGCACACCCTTAATCCTAACAATCATTCATCTGTTTTCCCATCTCAATGTAGTCATTTCAGAATGTTATATTAGGGGAGCTCTGTGTTATACAGCGTGTGACATACGTGACCTTTTGTAATTGGCTGCCCCCAGGGGGTGGAGTTTCAGTATAATGCTCTTATGACTAGCCCAGCTGTGACATGCGCCCATAGTTCCTTCCTTTATCATGCTGAGTGGAGTTCCTTGATATGGCTGTCCTCCAAAACTGTAAACAGTTTGTTTAACCAGTGGAGTGATCTTGTGCCTGCTTCCAGGAGCCCTAGTGGTGTAGTGGTTACATGCTGGGCTGTGATCTGCAAGGTCGGCAGTTTGAAACCACCTAGCTGCTCTGTGAGAGAAAGGAGGCTTTCTACTCTCAGAAAGACCTTACAGTCTCAGAAACCCACAGAGGCAGTTCTGCCCTGTCCTGTAGGGGTTGACTGGATGGCAGGGAGGTTTTGTTGTTGTTGCCGGCTTTTAGCCTATTACAGATAAAAGTCTTATGAGTGCTCATGCACGGTTTTTTTTTTTTTTTTTTTTTGACATTACGTTTTCATTTCTCCGGAATAAATGCCCAAGAGTGCAATTTCAGGTCATAGGATAAGTGAACTTTTTAGCGTTTTAAAGAAAACTGCTAAACGGTATTTTCCGGAGTGGTTATTTCTAGGGGTGTGAACTTTGCTGCCTCCTCGTGACCGTTTGAAGCGACGTTCCCTTTGGAACTTTGGTGCGGTGATGGGTGGTGTGGGTGGTGTGGGTGGCGGGCGATGGGGGAGAGGGTCCTCTCCACGCCTCCTCGCTCCCTCCGGGCGGCCTCTGCGGCCTGTCGCTGACCCTGTCGCACTGCTCCGCAGACGGTGGCCTCGGGCCCGTCGCCAGGTCTGGTGGTGGCGCCGGTGACGGGGGACAGCCTGGGCGTGCGGCGCGCGGAGATTAAGCCCGGGGTGCGCGAGGTCCACCTGTGCAAGGACGAACGCGGCAAGACCGGGCTGCGGCTGCGGGCCATCGACAAGGTGCGGCTGGGCCAGCGGGGCAGGAGGGCTCCAGGGGGACACAGAGCCTGCAGCATGGCGGGTGTGGGGGAGCCCGGGGGGGACCCGAGCCCAGGCGCTTCCTCTCGATCTCGGTGCCCTCAAGGCCCAGGCCGGGCGCTGGGTGGCAGCGGGACGCCTCGGTGGGCTTCTGTCCACCGAGGAGCTCCTGCGGACGTACGGGCCGGGGAGCGGTTGGGAGAGGCGGGGCTGGGGACGCAGCCGCCCGCCGGTGTGGACGCCGTTCTACAGCGCCCCCTCGCGGCGCGGCGGAGCGTGCCCTTTCCCGGAGGCAGCGTGGCCTTGGTCCCCGGCACGCCTCGAGAGCCGGGAGGAAAGAGTGCAGCTAGCTGGACGCTGCACTGGGGTCCGGGCGGGGCTTGGGGCGGGGGCGCTGCAAAAGCCAGGGAGGGGCCAGGGCTGATCCCGGTCTGCATCCCGTCCGTCCTGTAGGGCCTCTTTGTGCAGCTGGTCCAGGCCAACACCCCCGCGTCCCTCGTGGGGCTGCGCTTCGGGGACCAGATCCTGCAGATTGACGGGCGCGACTGCGCCGGCTGGAGCACCGACAAAGCCCACCGGGCGGTGAAGAAGGCGTCGGCCGAGAAGATCGTCATGGTGGTTCGCGACAGGTGAGCAGCCAGCCCCCCACTCCCACTTCCCCCATCCACTAGTACCCAGTGCCAGCCCAGCTCACTGCCCAGCGCTCTCTCAGGCCGTTCCAGCGGACTGTCACCATGCACAAGGACAGCGCGGGCCACGTCGGCTTCATCCTGAAGAAGGGGAAGGTGGTCTCCGTGGTCAAGGGGAGCTCGGCAGCCCGCAACGGGCTCCTCACCAACCACTACATCTGCGAGGTCAACGGGCAGAATGTCATTGGGTTGAAGGTAGGCGCCCGCCAGGGTCTCTGGGCGGGGACTGGGGGCGGGGTCAAGTCCCTGGGGGCCCCCAAGCCTCCGAGCCCCAGCTTCCTCATCCTGGGAAGATCCAGTGGGGCGATGGGCGTGGAGCTCGGGCACAGTTGGCAGGCTCCCAGCCAGCGCTCAGAAGATAGTCACAGCTGTCATCAAATGGCTGAGGCAAATGGTTGATGGGCTAGGCTGCTACCCGAAAGGTTAGAGACTCAAGTTTACCTCCAGGGAGGGCCCACTTCTGAAAACCGTTCGGACCACAGCCCTACATTGATTTTCATGGGCTGTCACCAGTGAACGTCAACCCCATGGCAATTGGTCTTACTATTACTTCCACAAGGAGGCCAGAGGAGTGATAGCAGGAGTGGGGACGATGGTGTTTGTAAGCACATGGCCACCCAGGTGGGGACCCAGGGACCCAGGTGGCACTTCTGCTAGCGCGATCAGCCAATTGTTATCCAAGAGCCCATCTCAGACCTGTGGTCTTTTTTTCAAGGGAGATGTGTGGGGTGAGTCCTTTTTGTAACATACAAGAAGGAATGCATCCCTTGGGCCAGTGCTGTGCACGTGGACAGGAAAGGGTGCCTGTGGGATGACTCCGTGACACGGCTGCCTCTGGGACCACGGAGGAAGGACGAGTTCCGGGGTCTCCGGTCAAGTCCCTGGGGGCCCCAAGTCCCTGGGACTTCCCAAGGCGCTTAAAGGAACTGCAGGTCATTATCCTAGTCGGACTTTAGGCTGAGCATCAGTCTAGGCTGTGGCCCTCCACAGTGGGCACAGTCCCCTAGGCCAGCCAGACCTCCCTTCAACCGAGGGCCACCACCACCGCCCATTCCTGTCACGCGGTCTGATGCTCCGTGCTTGTCAGTCTCCCCCGCCCTCCTGGTGCCACACAGCCATTCTGATGATGTCTTAAGGATTGCTCTTGGCATTCTCTCTCATGGGAGGGTGTGTGTGTGTGTGTGTGTGTGGCAAACATGACAATCCCAAGGGTACCTGTGGTGCTCACACAGACACAGTAGGAACCGTGCAGGCAGCCCCTCCCTGACTTACCAAGAACCACGGGGACCACCACCAGTGTTGTAGCTGGTGCCCTACATCTCGTTCATCATTCCAGGGGGGAGGAGGGTGAAAGGGGGGGGGGCACTTCAGAAAGTTCGAGGACACATGAAATGAAAAGAGAATGGAAATTTCCTATCCTTAAGTTCTTAGGTCATGTTTCCAAGGCCCAAAGACAAACCGCGACCGGCTTTATAAAGATACTGATAATAAAAGGCAAAGAGTCATGGGGGGAGGGGGGAAGAGATATCCAGTTGACGCCAGAACCAACTTCCAATGGAGTTGAGGCAATGGAGCCCCCTCGGAAGTAGCTGGACTTTCCTGATCCAGGGAGTTCCCTTCTTGGGGTCCCTCGCTGTCCTGGGGCAATCAGTCTCATACAGGCTGCAGGCGCTGCCATCCTCCCTACTGACTCCGACCAAGCCATGATGCTGTGAGATCCTTCGGGACTGGCCTATTCCTGGTCCTGGGTGGCTCCAGACAGCAATGCCGCTTGAGTTGCTTCATTTTTGCAAAGTGCACTTCGCCATCCCCTCCCGTGGCTACCACCAGGCCTGTTCAGCCCATCTTCTCCCACGCAATTTGTAAAAACCAAGAAAACACACAGCCAAGTTTGATGCATGCAGGGGCTTCCAAAAGTGTGCTGGAAAATTCCACTATCATTTTAAAGCCCCTCCATAGGGTAAAGGTCCCTCTCCCCATTGCTGTCACACTGCTGTCACACCACCGTCTCCTAGGGACCCTGTAGGGGAGGGCAGGGAGCTGTCCCACAGCAGTTCTGAGGCTGTACCCCAATAGAAGACGGCCTCATCTCTCTCCCAAGGAGCAGTTGGTGCATTTGAGCCACTGACCTCGTGGTTAGCAACGGGGCCCTTTAGCCACTGTGCCACCAGGGGGTCCTCAGGCTCATCTGTGGCTGAGTGTTAGTGTTTGGATGCTGACACACTTGGCTGAGAGTCAGAGTTCCTTGTTTCTGCAGGCTTCTCTCCTGGGAGGCCTGGCCCAGGTGGGTGGGGGCCTCGTGTCTCCTGTGGGGGCCAGACCTGAGTGTGACCAGGGCCAAGGGAGCTGGGGTAGACAGTGAGGGCCGAGTGAAGCTCCAGGAATCCATAGTGGCAAGGTGGTGACCATCAGTTGAGTGTCAGCCCGTCCAAAGGCCTCCTGCAACTGGCCTGCAAGGTAAGGGGGGGAAGGGGGTAGTGACCCAGGGTTGATGCTCTTGCTCAGCCAATGCCTCTCTTGGGAGTCTGCTAGGGCCCCTTCCCTGGCAGGCTCAGGACTGAGGCCACCTTGCCTCCCTAGTCAGGTGCCAGTTGCCATCCCCCCAGTGGTGGTCACCCTGAATGACCACTACCCGCCTCCTTCCCAGGACAAAGAGACCACAGAGATCCTGGCCGCGGCGGGGGACGTCATCACGCTGACCATCATCCCCACTGTGATCTACGAGCACATGGTCAGAAAGTAAGTCTGCACCCTCCCAGCCCTGCCCCCGGCCCCCTCCCGGCTTCCCAGGCCACATCCGGTTTGGTTCGGAGCGGGTCTGCTTCTGTGAAACTGAGACTCCCTCTCACAGGCCCAGCTTGCCCTTGGCCTCTCCCTTGCCCCTGGGGAGAAGTCATTGTCAGAGCTGACCGCTGTGTTGTCTGCTCTTCAGATTGTCCCCGACCCTGCTCCAGCACACCATGGACCACTCCATTCCAGACGTCTGAGGCCACGAGGACAACTCGGGCCACTCAGCCCTTCCCCTCCCCCATACTGCTGGAAAGGGTAGTGTCCTGGGGTAGCAGGGTGCTGCTGGTCCTCTGCCTGGTGGGAGGGATGCCTGGGGGTGGCTCCTGCCTAAGGGACGGGGGTGTTCCTGACAAGGGATCCGTGGATTTGTCATTTGCACACAGAGGCCACCTTGGAGCCTCCGGACTCTTAACTGGACGAAGGCGGGGCAGGGCCTACTGAGGCGGCTTCTCTGTGCTTGTCGAAATGCTGGCCACTCTTCGGGCTGGCCCAACGCTGTTTCAGCAGGCCACGTTCAGACCCCTTACCTCCACCAGCGCAGCCGTTTGAGAGAGAACTGGGATACATTTGCTGTGAGAATGTCTCTCTGTCCCAAACGCACTATCTACAGTTAGACTTCTTGACTGTCCATGGAGTAAAGATTTGATGTGAAGTCACACCCCTTCCTCAGAGGCCATCCTTGGTCCCAGGACACGTCCCGAGGCTGACAGGCGGCCAGATGAAGGTCTCTCTCTGCGTTTCCAGCCTGGGGTTTGCAGAGGCAGCAGGGCTGGCGTGGGAGCCCGGCTGTGCAGCCCCCTCGTGCTGAATGACAGTGACCTCGGGCTGTTTCTGTGCCTGCAAAAGGGGTGGGGGAGCATGCCCTGGGCCAGGAAGAAACGCCACAATCCTGAAGTGCCCAGCGGGACTGGCTCTCGGTGGGTGAGGGGAGGCAGGTCACCCTCCCAAGAACAGTGTGAGCTTTGGTCCCGCTCAGCTGTGTGGCAGAGCTGTGCACAGCACTCAGCAGCTGGTCACCTGGAGGGAGCGCTGCCCCTAGGGCTGTTCTGTGGATGCCCTGAGGAAAGACCTCCCCGCCCTCCCCGCCCCCCAAACCAACCAACCAACCAACCAACCAACCAA